CAGGCTGTTTCCTGCCGTACTAGTAGTCCTACCACACCATAAGGGATGTGAACAGTTAAAGGCGCCTAGAAGCATTGCGTTTTTAGTCAGCCTACACTCTATTTCATTTAGATCTGCCACCTCTATCTCCTCTGTGGGGCAGTAAATATTAATTATCTTTATGTTCTATGGTTTGCTTACTATTTCTACAGATAAGCCTTCAAAGTTTGTAGTATTGAATTTATCAAGGGCTGTTTCTTTTATCTCCTTTTTAATGAGGGTGGCCACGCCACCTCCCCTATCTATCTCTCTGTCGTTTCTAAAATTTGTATACCCTGGGTATTTAAAGGTATCTATTAGTTTAAGATTTGTTTCCCGAAAGACTATGATATTGCACTCTTCCTGTAAATCTTTCAACACTGCATTTAAGTTAAGTTTGGTCCTTTGCTGAAATGTACTGCGGGGATCAAATTCCTGCGGCTGTAGACACAGAAGTAAGGGAACTGATAGATCAGCTTTCAGACCGAGAAGATATCCTCATCTACACAGATGGATCCTTGAAGCGCGGATCAAGCTGTGTTGAATTTTGGGATTTAATTTGTGGTTTGATTACTGGTATGTTAAACAATGACACACAACATTTCATTAATATCCACGACCAGATGGGCGAGGGTAAGGGTAGGGGCGCTGGGGCAGTGAGTGAGACATGGGGTGCTTATGGGGAAGGGGGGGGGGGTAAGGACGAGTGTGATGTGGAATGCGCTGGGGCGGGGCATAGGGCTGGGGAGGTGGGTGCTGAGGGTAAAGGCGGGCGTGGTCGTTGAGTGGGTAGGGTCAGCGGGTGCATGGTAGGGCACTGGAGGGTCGGTGAGGGCGTGGTCCACTGGCATTATGTAGGGTAGCGGCATGTCAAGTAGACGGCCTGCAAGTGCCGGGTCTGAGTCGATGAGGTACAGCTGGAGGTTGATGATGATGTGCAGGTTTGGGTACATTGGGTCTAGTTGGGGAGCGATGAATCATCTGTTGATGCCTTTACCTCCTTTCTCCTTTATCGTACGCCCTGTACAGTCAGTAGTTCCTCCTTGCTGGCTAGACTGCCTCATCTTCTAGTCGAAGTTCATCTTAAATTCTAAGAGTTCCATAACTCTCCTTCTCTGACAAAAATCAATTTTATTGATAGGCGTTGCATTAGTTTATGTGGTCTCTTGTGGGTCCTCTCCCTTCTTTGCCTGTCCGGTCGGTTCCAGCAGTCTCCTTATTTCATCCTTATGCTTCTCCAGCTTTTCCCTCTGATTGTCCATTTCCTTTTCCATCTTAGCACGTTCCCCAGTAAGGTTCTGCACTGCCTTCTCCAGTCTATTCCTCTCAATTGCAATCTCCCTCAGATGTGCGTGTGATTTTGCTCTGGCCTCGAGCAGTTTCTCGATCTGGCGGGCCTGCATCCGGTACAGACATGCCGTTTTCGACACACATCAATGTTCGAAGGGATGCCGGCATGCAGATCGGTCTCCAGCAGCGGTCATGAGGTATGGGAGGAAGGGTGGGCAATGGGGAGCGTGGGGAGCTCGGTCGGCTGGATGGAAAAAAGAATAGGGGGAAGGAGTGGGTGGCACAACAGTCTCAGCCACATGGGAGGGGGGGGGGGCTGCAGAGAAAGTGTGAGACTATGTGGGTTCGTGGTTAAAGAGCCATGTTTGCCTTTGCTGGTGCTCAGTCTGGACACCTCCCTTATCGCACTCCGGGTCATACGGATGTAAAGGGAAATGAGTAAGCGGATCAACTGGCAAGCACTGCACTGATGATTGCAGGAAAAAGCATAAATAGAGCAGATATCGTCAACGCTGTACGGACTAGGCTAGTGGATAATAAGGAATCCCTGACACTAACACAATTGCGTGACATGGGAGTAAAGCACGTCTTTGCCGTCTTCGAGGCCAAGATAGGAGACTATAGAACCAGTTTCTCATGGCAAAAATTAGTAGAAGTAATTTGGCGTAGCTGCTGCCTCGGAGGACTGAGCACGCACGGAAATGCCCAATGCGCAGTGACGTCGATTGTGACAACGTATAATAAAATAACATCTTGTAGGGAGGCGGCAGTCCGAATCCCAAGTTCAAGGTGTCTCCTTCGTGCCAAAGAACTGCATGGCTGTTGGGTGAACAGTCGTTAACGAAGGCGGTCATGTCGTTAAAGGGGTGACGCTGGTGGTGGATGTAATGTCCTAAGCCCCTTCCCCAGCTAATAGTGAGTGCACTGCTGGGGTGACCGTTTATTAATCCTCACATAATGCTTCAGATCAAAATGGACACTAGGCACGGCTCCTTTTTCAGCCGTGGCAAATTTTTTTTTTGTGTGCTTCAGCCAGAAGGTGACCGTTGCCTTTTTGCTTCATTTGTAGACAGGAAGGATATAGTTTCGTTGCCCAGCATCTGAATTCAGTGCATTGCGTAACACTGTGAGCTGCGGATTTCATTTAAACTGTGATAAACATGTTATGTCTTTTTTTTATTGGCACAGGAGTGGAGCCACTTTGGGGTGACCCGTTTGCTATGAAGCTAGAACTCAGATTACCAGATTACCAGATTCCTCAGGTCTTCCTCAGTTCTTCTTTGAAGGGTACCCCCTTCACCACCAAGGTAGCCTCTGGTCGGCTGATGTCCACGAAGATCCTGATATCATGGGGGGGGGGGGGGCGCAAAGCCTTCCCTTCCTTGGCTTCCATGACGCTCCTGATCATCTCCTCTGTCTCCATGGTCCTGTTTAGGTTGGCCAGGATAGTCCCTCGTGCATCATTGGTGCATCTGGTCACCGTCATCTTTTCTAGTGCGTCCTCCAGGATTCTAGTAGCCTTGGCCTTGGTGAGTGATAGCCTCACCTGCCTTGCGCCAGTCTGAGTAATCGCCACGTTTAGGTCATGTTGCTCCTCTGCCTTCTCCGGTTGCTTGGGAGCGGTCCTCCTAGTCCTCCTTTTCACTGGCACCATATCAGACATCACCTCTGTGAATGTCCTCTCTGCTTTTTGGCTCCTAGTAAGAGGCATGGTTAATACACAAACAAGATGGTTGTTAGTAAAAAAAAAAAATTGAGCTGACTTACTTGAACATTTATATATATAAATACCTGTCTTTTCTTTACTTTCCTGTTTTTGTTGTTTAGCGTTGAACTTTTACATTTTGTCCTAATCACAATATTCTTCTTTATCTCTCCATACTTCTGTTTCCCGCACTCTCTTTCTTCCCGCTAGCACACTTTTCTTAGAGTGTAGTCAGCCTACCAGACCCTCTGGTTACACCCAGGTTCAACTGTATCCAACAAATTGCAATTCCAATTCCTTTTAAGAAAAATGCAAAAACTCAGCCACGTTCAACCTGCTGCTAGCTAGGACGTCAAAGAAAGCCATAAGACGAATGTTGATGAGAACAGAGAGTTCAAAGATGCTGGACTTGGTTACATCCATGACACTGAACATGGTGCACAAAATAGGACCGAAAGAGGGGTTACAAAGCGATCCTAATTAACGCATAAATGGGACAAACGATGATGATGCTGGTGATGATGATGACGGCGAAGATGAGAAAAGTGTAAGTTACAAGTCTTTCAGACTGCAGCTGGCAAAGAGTCTAACACTTTACCTTTAGAGTGTTTGTACATAGTTCCTGTGGCATGACGTGTCTTGTATAAGCACGGTATATTTGTAAAATTCTGTCAAGCACCTTCTCTCTGGGTGTAGAGACACAACGGTGAAGGAAAAATCCTTCGGGTGAATATTTGGAAAGCTTTAGTAATGAGATGCTTCAGTCTAAAACGAAATAAAGTAAATAATAACATTAACGGTCATGTGGAGAAAAACTATGGTCTAATGTTTTCAGTTTCGATTAGAGCGTGTTGATTCAATAGATGTGTAAAATATACTGGGATTTTTCCTGGTGTTGTTTGTCCATCACGAGTGATGAAGACTACTTTTCATCAAAAGTAGCAAAGATCAATGATTATGTGTACGAATGAGGCTGAATAGTCGAATATGAGCCTGGAAAATTCTTGAGCAGTGGGGACATCAAATGGAAGCTGCAGTAAGTGTGGGATTAGCAGTACCATTCTCTCTAGTCTACTTTAGTGTCTCTGTTTGTGGAAGCTTCCCCTGTGGAACAATCGGCCTGGTAGGCTGGTGAAACATGCCTGATGGATGTACGCCATCCAGAACGGTCTTGTGCAGCAGCCTCCCGCGTCACTGTGTTGATGTCGAAAGAATTGAGAGCAGCATTGAATGTGTCCTTATAGCGCTTTTTTTTTCTATCCTCACTGGGACCTCTTCCCTTGATGGAGCTTGCCATAAAATACTCTCTTTGTGAGGCGATAGTCTGGAATGTGTGCTAGGTGACCAGCCTAACGCAGCTGATAATTCTTCTGTATCGTGTGGATGCTAGGCAAGTTTTGGCACTCTCCCGAATACCGGCTTCCTGTGCATACCTTGTGCAGACATACGGCTATCTCTTATAAAACAATCGATCCCTTTCTCTTTCCCAAAGCTGTTCAAACATTACGGAGAAGTCACTACAGTCACGTTCAACATTTTAAGAACATATAAATCCATCCTAGTTTGTGTCACCGCCTTCGCTAGAGACAAACAGCTGCAGACACTGTGGTCTTCGAGCACACATGTACATGATAGGCATAAAAGAATCTGCTGCCTGTGATTGTGGATCAGAAAGACAGACACCTGAGCACATACTGCAGTACTGCCCTTACCTCTCCCAGCAAAGACTGTGGATCTGGCTTAGGGGATCCACATTGCGAGAGAAGCTATGGGGGACCGGTTGCGACCTTAAACGCACAATCCTATTTGTGACCCAGACGGGACTCAGTGTTTAGCATGACTGATGTCGAACGCAGAAGAAGAAGAAACAGCTGCAGGAGGTCGTGTTTATGCTCATCATTCACCAAGCTCTGCCGACCTCCAGACGTGGGCCAGCACAATTTGTAGCTACACCGGGAAGTCACATGACCACGGCAATGAAAACAATATGGCAGACGCCAGAGGAGCTCGGTTGTTGGCAGACCTAGATAACGCGTTCAAGAGAGACCCCGACATGTTAGTAGCTTTATTTTCTTCTTTCTTATGCTAGCAGCCTTGTCAGATCAAGCTTCTTCCTTCTCATAGGCTTAAACAGACCAGTGTTTATTTCACTTCTTTTCGCTATGTAACGATGTTATTATATTATATCGTTAAACGCCAGTTCGGTCAGTGGTTGGTGTCCGTCTTTCCACGGGACAGTCATGGGCTACCAGTCTTCTATGAATCTATGAGCATGGCGAGTGTGACGAGAAGCAAGACCCACTCGCATTAAAACAAAATGTTCTCCACATATAGAGCACGAAATTTCATAATCATTATTGCCATCTCAAGTATACGAATAAAAATTTAAAATTTCCCTCTGTCTGCAATTTCCTGTCTGATTTCCCACCATCATACTGATACAGAACGGTCCATAGCATCCTTCACTACCTACCTCTCCACTCTTGTCAAGCTTGCACACATCTTTAAGACCTAGTAGGGGTTGAGCTTAACATCTGCCCATCTGTAATTCATCATACATGTTGTCCTTAGGGATGCCAGGATTCGGCTCTCCTCCGAACTTCTACCGCGGCATTATGGCGGCCAAACAAATATCCTAACAGAGCCTCAGTCCTATTAGAAATATGCGAACTTCCGGCGACGAACAAATGGCGGCAAAACTGACAAAAAACTGACAATTTCAAGAGACGCAACACTGCAGATAATAGTAGCAGACGATAATAGCGACCGTTGACAGTTTCAAGAGTTTCTGCAGATGATACTAGCGACCATTGACAATTTCAAGACATGCATCATTACAAATAATAAAAGCTACATGGCGTGGAGACCAGGTGCTCCGACGCAGATTAGCGTCGTTGTTGTCCTCAAACTTTTTGGCATGCGCAAAATGCGGTTACACTCACCGCCGACAGTATCCCCTGCGCCGCTACGCGCGGCGTGGATGGGGGGCCAAACTGGATGCCTGGGGCTCACGAGCAAATAAAATGGAGGAAGTTACAGGAGATGTGGTAGCTGCTGCTCGTGAGTCCCAGCCATCTAGTTTAGCCCCCATCTGCGTGGCGGGGGGGATTTGTCAGCGATGAGGCATAGTCACAGAAACAGGTTCGCAATGAACATATCGCAGAGACCCTGTTGAAGCATTTGTTTCGTTATACGGAGCCAATCCTAGTTTTGCCGCTCGGCAGAAAGTCAGAGGTTCGCATATTTTTTAACAGGACTGAGGCCCTGTTAAGATATTTGTTTGGCCGAAATATTACCGGGGTAGAAGTTCGGAGGAGAGCCCAGGATTCTCCACATGTACCCTAGCCACCTGAGCTTTCAGAGTCTGAGCACTGAGAGCATTATAAGTTGAATACAATCCTGTATACTTATTTATTTATTATAAGTTATTTATAATACTGGTTGAGAACATTTCAGTGTTCAGCTCAGAGTCGAAGTCGAAGCGTGTCAGGCAAGGATGTATACTGAGTTCTGTTGTCTGACTGGTGGTCATAATAAATATCAATACCAGAGTATACTAATGGCCGATCCGGTAGCACACTGGCTAACGTGCTTGTCAGCTGACTCATTGACCATATGTTTGAATCCTTCCCACCCCTGAATTATAATTTAAAAAACAAAATTCAGCCTGAAATAAAAACCAGGAAAAATCCTGGTGCCGTCCGTAAATACTAGAACTGAAAGTAACCTGTTTCATTTTGGCCCTGTCAACCACCGTGCCTGTTTGCCTGTCAGAATACAGGACAATCACAATTTTGGCCCTGTCAACCACCCTGCCTGTTTGCCTGTCAGAAAACAGGACAATCACAATTTTGGCCCTGTCAACCCTGCCTGTTTGCCTGTCAGAATACAGGACAATCACAATTTTGGCCCTGTCAACCACCCTGCCTGTTTGCCTGTCAGAATACAGGACAATCACAATTTTGGCCCAGTCAACCACCCTGCCTGTTTGCCTGTCAGAATACAGGACAATCACAATTTTGGCCCTGTCAACCACCCTGCCTGTTTGCCTGTCAGAATACAGGACAATCACAATTTTGGCCCTGTCAAAAACCCTGCCTGTTTGCCTGTCAGAATACAGGACAATCACAATTTAGGCCCTGTCAACCACCCTGCCTGTTTGCCTGTCAGAATACAGGACAATCACAATTTTGGCCCAGTCAACCCCCATACCTGTTGCCTCTAAGAATACAGGACAATCACAATTTTGGCCCAGTCAACCCCCGTGCCTGTTGCCTCTAAGAATACAGGACAATCACAATTTTGGCCCTGTCAACCACCCTGCCTGTTTGCCTGTCAGAATACAGGACAATCACAATTTTGGCCCAGTCAACCACCCTGCCTGTTTGCCTGTAAAAATACAGGACAATCACAATTTTGGCCCAGTCAACCACCGTTCCTGTTGCATCTAAGAAGAATACAGGACAATCACAATTTTGGCCCAGTCAACCCCCATGCCTGTTGCCTCTAAGAATATAGGACAATCACAATTTTGGCCCAGTCAACCCCCGTGCCTGTTTGCCTTCAAGAATACAGGACAATCACAATTTTGGCCCAGTCAACCACCATGAGTGTTGCCTTCAAGAATACAGGACAATCACAATTTTGGCCCTGTCAACCACTGTGCCTGTTTGCCTTCAAGAATACAAGACAAACACAATTTTGGCCTAGTCAACCACCGTGCCTGTTTGCCTTCAGGAACACAAGACAATCACAATTTTGGCCTAGTCAACCACCGTGCCTGTTGCATCTAAGAATACAGGACAATCATAATTTTGGCCCAGTCAACCCCCATGCCTGTTGCCTTCAAGTATATAGGACAATCACAATTTTGGCCATGTCAACCGCCGTGCTTGTTTGCCTGTAAGAATACAGGACAATCACAATTTTAGCCCAGTCAACCACCCTGCCTTCAAGAATACAGGACAGTCAAAATTTTCCAAATACATGTCTAGGTTGTGGAACTGGGCCTGAAACCGCCTCTCCAGTTCAGTAATTGAGTTCTAGATTTCTAAAACCAACATCTGTGTAGTGGATTTTTCCTGTTTGAACTCAAGTAGAAGTCACTTGGTGCAATCCGGTAAGTTTGGTGGATGGAATATGATGGCATGCACGTCACCCTTGTAAGTTTGGTCGATGGAATTTGATGGCATGCACGTCACCCCGGTAAGTTTTGTAGATGGAATATGATGGCATGCACGTCACCCCGGTAAGTTTTGTAGATGGAATATGATGGCATGCACGTCACCCCGGTAAGTTTTGTAGATGGAATATAAAGGCATGCCCAGGTGTGTGCTTTGACTCTTCATACAAAAGTGCACAACTCTTCCAATGTCCCTCATAGAAGTCATACTGTTAGCACTTACAAACTTTTCCTTTTCTTTTTTAAACTGTGGTTTAATTTGTTGTGAACTTGCAGAGATGAATATGATATGCTGCCAGTGCTAGAGCCAAAACACAACAAGTCTCCGTTCATTCTACAAGATCATAAACTTGGAGTGGAAGCATGGGCTGTGAAAATTCTTGTCAAATATGCATCACAAAGACTCAAGGGCTGGCGGAGTCGCCAGGCGGGAGAACAGTTTACAGGTAGTATTGTTTCATCAGTGCTGATTTGTTACAGTGATTAGTACATAGGTTTACTGATCCAGTGTTCTTAGTTAAGGATCAATAGAAGTCATCCCCCCCCCCCCCCCCCCCCCCGCGACTGGCTGGGCACTGTAGGATCCACCTGCCCAGGTGCTCATTATACATGGATTTTGTGTGTGTTTGCTGTCCATACCATGGTCATTGTGTTTGTCCACCGGCGTATAACTAATGATGTTCTCATCATTTCTGTCTGTCCATGATGTTCTCATCATTTCTGTCTGTCCATGATGTTCTCATCATTTCTGTCTGTCCATGATGTTCTCATCATTTCTGTCTGTCCATGATGATCTCATCATTTCTGTCTGTCCATGATGTTCTCATCATTTCTGTCTGTCCATGATGTTCTCATCATTTCTGTCTGTCCATGATGATCTCATCATTTCTGTCTGTCCATGATGTTCTCATCATTTCTGTCTGTCCATGATGTTCTCATCATTTCTGTCTGTCCATGATGTTCTCATCATTTCTGACTGTCCATGATGTTCTCATCATTTCTGTCTGTCCATGATGTTCTCATCATTTCTGTCTGTCCATGTTGTTCTCATCATTTCTGTCTGTCCATGATGTTCTCATCATTTCTGTCTGTCCATGATGTTCTCATCATTTCTGTCTGTCCATGATGTTCTCATCATTTCTGTCTGTCCATGTTGTTCTCATCATTTCTGACTGTCCACTGCCTCTTGCTTCTCATCATTGTCTGAATATGAATAAGTTAGCTGTTAGACCCAACACCGGGGCAATAAGTGAGCAGTGTAACAGATCAGTTCTGTGATTTTCTGTCTAAGACAACTGGGGCAATCATTAGGTAGACAGATTGGCTGCAGCTGCCCCTCTGGGTAGTGAGCTACTTAATGATAAAGCAATGGTGGCAAATGTAAAGTGACCATGGCGACAGCTTTCTGGTATCTCATGGACCCTGCAGCAGAACAGACAGCATTCATACATGGCATTTTAAACATTGTAGCTCTTAGTTGGATACTTTAAGATGGAGCATTTATGGCAACGACCTGAGCTCAGCGATGTTGATTCGATACCTAGAAAACTTGCCTACAGCAGAATATTTGTAGATGTTCCATGTGTGGGCTTCCGGACCCCATTATGGGTCAAACAAGAATAGACCCACTGCCTCCCCACAAGCATGTCATAAGAGTCGACTAATTGGGTGCTTTTTTTTTTAAATTGGAGTGCATCTGCCTGTGAGGCAAGATATCAACAATCTGCACACAAGTAAGTCAGATCTGTAAAACGGATATGCATGCAACACTCAGGTTCTGGAACAAGACTAATATCCAGAGGTGGCAAAACATCCAAAACTTTCTGCCAAAGTTTACAGCCAGTGAATGCAAAGAAGAAGTTCTGTGATGTTAAAGAAACTTTCCTTCAGCTGGATCTGGTGTGTTTTGATCTAGAAGCAGATATCATGCCTCAAGACAGCCTGACTTGCCAATTTGATACTTCAGTGTTGGCTTTATCTTCATGTTGACATTGTGAAGTACACCATCGGCTGACTGCTGGTGTTGTGTTTGGTCCAACAGATCCTCTTGAGGTGAGCCATCTCAGCAGAGCAATGTTACTGTTTAACCCCGAAGTTTATACAGCATGGAATATCAGGTAATCTTCTCTTGTATTTTTTTTTTTTATTGCCAGTTTATCCAGTAACTGTGTAAAAGTTATCTTTCTCATGGTAATACAGCTAACAGATTTGCAGATCTTCTTACTAAATGGGGGGGGGGGGGGGTGGTCAATTGCAGAAAACAAGAGATATCAGGCACCGAGAATCTGCCCAACTTGAAGAGCCTCACACGTGTCACTCTCTGGAGGCTGGTGTCTTGCCTCAAACATGTCACTCTCTCTTCCTGGAGGCTGGTTCCTTGCCTCACACATGTCACTCTCTCTCTCTGGAGGCTGGTTCCTTGCCTCACACATGTCACTCTCTCTCTGGAGGTTGGTGTCTTGCCTCACACATGTCACTCTCTCTCCCTGGAGGCTGGTTCCTTGTCTCACACATGTCTCTCTCTGGAGGCTGGTTCCTTGTCTCACACATGTCACTCTCTCTCTGGAGGCTGGTTCCTTGCCTCACACATGTCACTCTCTCTCTGGAGGCTGGTTCCTGCCTCACACATGTCACTCTCTCTCTCTCTGGAGGCTGGTTCCATGCCTCACATATGTCACTCTCTCTCTCTCTCTCTGGAGGCTGGTGTCTAACCTCACACATGTCACTCTCTCTCTCTCTGGAGGCTGGTGTCTTGCCTCACACATGTCACTCTCTCTCTCTCTGGAGGTTGGTTCCTTGCCTCACACATGTCTCTCTCTCTCTCTGGAGGCTGGTTCCTTGCCTCACACATGTCACTCTCTCTTTCTCTGGAGGCTGGTTCCTTGCCTCACACATGTCACTCTCTCTCTGGAGGCTGGTGTCTTGCCTCACACATGTCACTCTCTCTCTCTGGAGGCTGGTGTCTTGCCTCACACATGTCACTCTCTCTCTCTGGAGGCTGGTTCCTTGCCTCACACATGTCTCTCTCTCTCTCTGGAGGCTGGTTCCTTGCCTCACACATGTCTCTCTCTCTCTCTCTCTCTCTCTCTCTCTCTCTCTCTCTCTCTCGGCTTGTTGCTTGCCTCACACATGTCACTCTCTCTCTCTGGAGGCTGGTTCCTTGCCTCACACATGTCACTCTCTCTCCCTAGAGGCTGGTTCCTTGCCTCACACATGTCACTCTCTCTCTGGAGGCTGGTGTTTAGGATTCCTTTTTTTTTTTTTTTTTGCAGTGCTCGTTGAAAAAAAAAAATATTCAGTTGTTTCCATGGGGGTTGTTTTTTCCGTCCTCCCTCATTGAACTGCCTACTTGTAGCTCTGTGTTAGGTAAATTCACATTGCTTAATCCATTCAGACAACACAGCTTATATTCGGTAAAATCACATTGTTTGATCATCTCACTGAATACAGCTTTTGTTTAGTTAAATCTCATTATTTGATCCTCCCACAAAACACAACTTGTACCAGTAAACAGACTGACCAAATCACCACAGAACCCCAAACATTGACATAGGAGTCATCATCATCATGTGCCCTGCCAACTGGCGTAGATTCTCATGCATCTCCACAGATCACAATCTGGTTGCCTAGAACAGCTCTCTTGATATATCTCCATGCCATTGTTTCAGCCCATCCAGCATCATCTCTCTTGGTCTACCTCTACACTTCTTTCCACTGATTTTTCTGGTTGTCACAATTATTTACATTCCTTTCTTCTCATTACGTGGCTGAAGAACAGTGTTTGTCTCCTACTTATTGTTGTATATAAAAGATCTGCTTTCATTAGCTTCTTTCAAACAATCGTTGTTAGTTAGTCTGTTGTCCAAGGTATTCCTAACAGAAACCACCTCTCTGTTGCTTCCAAATTCTCTTAATGTGTTCACTGACATTCCAAGATTTGCTGCCATACAGCAGAACATGTTCTATGTAACATTTTAGCACTCTTTTCACATGGAAGTACCAATAGATGTATACAGAATGCAGTGCTGATAATCTGCACTAAACTCAGGCGAACTAGTTCACAGACCCTCAGCACCACGCCACTGTGTCAGCAGTAGGATTAGCTAGACCAGAGACACGCTGACATGTACATCACAGCCAGTTGGCAGAGGCAGGAGTCAGCTGGCTTTACTGACCACATCATCTGCACTGACCACATCATCTGCACTGACCACAGAATCTGCACTGACCACAGAACCTGCACTGACCACAGAATCTATATTGACCACATAATCTGCAATGACCACAGAATCTGCAATGACCACAGAATCTGCACTGACCACAGAATCTTCACTGACCACAGAATCTGTACTAATTTCTAGTTCTAATTTTTTACTTTTAACTACCCTCCGTTTTCCATTGCATGGTTTTGAGACTAGATCTGTTTGCAGATAAAGATAAATTTCCTGTAGCGTTTGTGTGTGGCATCCTGATTTTTACGGTGCGCCTCCTGGCTGGTTGCCTCCGACTTCAGCCCCTAATTTTTTGCTAGTAAGCTAGATCGACGTACTGGCATTCGGGACTGAACTATCCACCGTGATATGTGTGTGCGCCTGTAAATAGGACTTTGGCATCATTCTCGCATCAATGTTTATACCTAACGCTGACATAGCATTGTTGCTTAGTTGTCCATTACGATGTGTCCCGTGCGTTTCCATGACCTTGACTATGAACTTACATCAAAATGAAGGCAGTCAGAAACACACAGTCCTGATGCAGTTGAGAAACACTTCTGCAGTCTTTTGGCAGTCATTATTTCATCAGGTTACATACACAATAGACAGCTAAGTTTAGGATTTTTGTAAACAGAATCTGCACTGACCACAGAATCTGTACTAACCACAAAATCTGTTCTAACAACAGAATCTGCACTGACCACAGAATCTGTACTAACCACATAATCTGTTCTGACAACAGAATCTGTACTGACCACAGAATCTGTACTAACCACATAATCTGTTCTGACAACAGAATCTGTACTGACAACAGAATCTGTACTAACCACATAATCTGTTCTGACAACAGAATCTGCACTGACCACAGAATCTGTACTAACCACATAATCTGTTCTGACAACAGAATCTGCACTGACCACAGAATCTGTACTAACCACATAATCTGTTCTGACAACAGAATCTGCACTGACCACAGAATCTGTACTAACCACATAATCTGTTCTGACAACAGAATCTGCACTGACCACAGAATCTGTACTAACCACATAATCTGTTCTGACAACAGAATCTGTACTGACAACAGAATCTGTACTAACCACATAATCTGTTCTGACAACAGAATCTGCACTGACCACAGAATCTGTACTAACCACATAATCTGTTCTGACAACAGAATCTGTACTGACAACAGAATCTGTACTAACCACATAATCTGTTCTGACAACAGAATCTGTACTGACAACAGAATCTGTACTAACCACATATCTGTTCTGACAACAGAATCTGTACTGACAACAGAATCTGTACTAACCACATAATCTGTTCTGACAACAGAATCTGTACTGACAACAGAATCTGTACTAACCACATAATCTGTTCTGACAACAGAATCTGTACTGACAACAGAATCTGTACTAACCACATAATCTGTTCTGACAACAGAATCTGTACTGACAACAGAATCTGTACTAACCACATAATCTGTTCTGACAACAGAATCTGCACTGACCACAGAATCTGTACTAACCACATAATCTGTTCTGACAACAGAATCTCAAAACCAAATGTTAGCAACTTAGTGATTGTTTCCTCGGGTATGAAAAAAAAATGTTAACATTAGATGTGTCTTCTCATTGAGGAAAGAATGAATAGAGCAGATTTTATCTGAGCTTGTTCATAGACTTACCTTTGAAGCCTTCATTTTTCCCTGTTATCGAAATCTGTGCTAATTCTCATGTGAACATTTATTTCAGGAAGGAATTAGTAGAAAGTGGATATCTGAGCGTTACGGAGGATTTGTCTTTCGGTGCACTCATTCTGTCCAGGCATCCAAACAGTTCAGAAACATTTGTTCACAGGTAAGGCTGTACTTGTGTGTGTGGAAGTGCTAGAGGGCGTGTGTCTGTGTGTTGGACTGATAAGAGTTGTGGCATTTGTCTGTTACTGAAAGTGCTGAGATGTGCTACTTTACTACTACTGAAACTTACTCTTTTATATTTCCATTGACTATTATTTGATCATCTGGGCTGTAGACATGACTTCACTTCCTTCCCAGAAAATGGGTCTTAACTTCTTATTGTCTTCTCTCTTTTTAATCTCTCCTCATCTCTGTCATTGCCCCTCTCTCTCTCTCTCTCTCTCTCTCTCTCTCTCTCTCTCTCTCTCTCTCTCTCTCTTTTCTCTGTCTCTCTATCTTTGTCTTTCTGTCTGTCTCTCACTCTATCTCTGTCTTTCTATCTGTCTCTCGCTCACACTTACTCAAACCACCCTCTTACATGTGGAGAACCATGCTAGGAAGTCACCTGGTCATGAATCAGCACAGCTCATGAGAACTAAGTACAGTTAGGCCTGAATAGGCACAGCTCATAAGGACTAAGTACAGTTAGGCCTGAATCAGCACAGCTCATGAGAACTAAGTACAGTTAGGCCTGAATCAGCACAGCTCATGAGAACTAAGTACAGTTAGGCCTGAATAGGCACAGCTCATAAGGACTAAGTACAATTAGGCCTGAATCAACACAGCTCATGAGAACTCAGTACAGTTAGGCCTGAATCAGCACAGCTCATGAGAACTAAGTACAGTTAGGCCTGAATAGGCACAGCTCATAAGGACTAAGTACAGTTAGGCCTGAATCAGCACAGCTCATAAGGACTAAGTAGAGTTAGGCCTGAATCAGCACAGCTCATAAGGACTAAGTAGAGTTAGGCCTGAATCAGCACAGCTCATAAGGACTAAGTAGAGTTAGGCCTGAATCAGCACAGCTCATAAGGACTAAGTAGAGTTAGGCCTGAATCAGCACAGCTCATAAGGACTAAGTACAGTTAGGCCTGAATCAGCACAGCTCATAAGGACTAAGTACAGTTAGGCCTGGGTGAATGTATGATGTTTCCTGTATGTGTTTTAGCTATAGCAGTCTCAGCAGACTCCAGCCTTGAGGGAGTTGTAGGCACAAACAGTTGATTATACATTGTTACCTTGTGTGATGTTGCAGATTATACATTGTTACCTTGTGTGATGTTGCAGATTATACATTGTTACCTTGTGTGATGTTGCAGATTATACATTGTTACCTTGTGTGATGTTGCAGATTATACATTGTTACCTTGTGTGATGTTGCAGATTATACATTGTTACCTTGTGTGATGTTGCAGATTATACATTGTTACCTTGTGTGATGTTGCAGATTATACATTGTTACCTTGTGTGATGTTGCAGATTATACATTGTTACCTTGTGTGATGTTGCAGATTATACATTGTTACCTTGTGTGATGTTGCAGATTATACATTGTTACCTTGTGTGATGTTGCAGATTGTACATTGTTACCTTGTGTGATGTTGCAGATTATACATTGTTACCTTGTGTGATGTTGCAGGCGCTGGTTGTTCCGCCAGCTCCTGGACACCTGCTTGTCATCCAACTCTGCCAACAACTCACCGTGTACGGCCACACCAGCAGTCAACAATGGGCACTTGGTCAGCATGGGCATCAATGGTGTGCATGCCAGTGTAGCCCCTAGTCTCTGTGACAACGGAACCTTGGCTCTAGAACCCAGTAGACTCCTGTCTCATGCCCATAGAGAGCTGAGGCTGTGCAGCCAGACAGCGGAGAAGTACCCCTGCAACTACCACTCCTGGTCTCACAGGGTCTGGCTCATGCAGCAGTGTTTCAGCTCTTCACTGGAGGTAAACTTTGTGCATGTCAGCCTCACTGTTAAATTTGTTCACATTTTTGGTACCAGGATCCACTCGGGAAGCAGACAGTAGTAACACCATCATCTGTCCAGTCAGTCACATGAAGCAGACAAGGAGACATGGCAAGCAGCTGCTGTCTTTTGTGTAGTGTAAAGATTTCAGTTGTTGGCATGAGGGAAAGTTGACACCATTGTCCTACATCTCAATGGACCCTATTCCTTACCAGGGTACCCAGCAGACTGTGCTGGTACTGACCTCACTTCTTGCTACACTCCTTCCAGTTCACATATTTCACCACAGATAATCAAGGAGGTTCACATATTTTACCACAGATAATCAATGAGGTTCACATATTTCACCACAGATAATCAATGAGGTTCACATATTTCACCACAGATAATCAATGATGTTCACATATTTCACCACAGATAATCAATGAGGTTCACATATTTCACCACAGATAATCAATGAGGCTCACATATTTCACCACAGATAATCAATGAGGCTCACAAATTTCACCACATATAATCAGTGAGGTCAATGAGGTTCACATATTACACCACAGACAATCAATGAGGTTCACATATTTCACCACAGATAATCAATGAGGTTCACATATTTCACCACAGATAATCAATGAGGTTCACATATTTCACCATAGATAATCAATGAGGTTCACATATTTCACCACAGATAATCAATGAGGCTCACAAATTTCACCACATATAATCAGTGAGGTCAATGAGGTTCACATATTACACCACAGACAATCAATGAGGTTCGCGTATTTCACCACAGATAATCAATGAGGTTCACATATTTCACCACAGATAATCAATTAAGTTCGCATATTTCACCACAGATAATCAGTGATGTTAATAAGGTTCACATATTTCACCACAGATAATCAATGAGGTTCACCAAGTGTTTTCATAATTTGCCAAATAGTGTTTAAAGTTCACTGACCACAAATCATACCCCCCAAAAAAAAAAAAAAAAAAAAAAATTTTGGTTCAGCTGTCCATTAAATAAAATTCCTGCTAAATACCAGAACTGGTAATCCTGGATACATCTGTTCATGTGACTTCGTTAAAAAAGCTCTGTATAAGAGCATGGTTCTTTAACAGGGGACAAATATATCACATAGAAAACAGTGTATGTGATGCACAGTTCATAATTCCAACCATTCATACATGTCACATAGAAAACAGTGTATGTGATGTACAGTTCATAATTCCAACCATTCATACATGTCACATAGAAAACAGTGTATGTGATGTACAGTTCATAATTCCAACCATTCATACATGTCACATAGAAAACAGTGTATGTGATGTACAGTTCATAATTCCAACCACTCATACATATCACATAGAAAACAGTGTATGTGATGTACAGTTCATGATTCCAACCACTCATACATATCACATGGAAAACAGTGTATGTGATGTACAGTTCATAATTCCAACCACTCATACATGTCCCATAGAAAACAGTGTATGTGATGTACAGTTCATAATTCCAACCATTCATACATATCACATCGAAAACAGTGTATGTGATGTACAGTTCATAATTCCAACCACTCATACATATCACATAGAAAACAGTGTGTGTGATGTACAGTTCATAATTCCAACCATTCATACATATCACATGTAAAACAGTGTATGTGATGTACAGTTCATAATTCCAACCATTCATACATGTCACATAGAAAACAATGTATGAGATGTACAGTTCATAATTCCAACCATTCATAGATATCACATAGAAAACAGTGTATGAGATGTACAGTTCATAATTCCAACCATTCATAGATATCACATTGAAAACAGTGTATGAGATGTACAGTTCATAATTCCAACCATTCATACATATCACATAGAAAACAGTGTATGTGATGTACATCATAATTCCAACCATTCATACATGTCACATAGAAAACAGTGTATGTGATGTACATCATAATTCCAACCATTCATACATATTACAACGCACGAAAGCCTCCATAAACATTCATATCCAAACAGCCTGGGATTATATTGATTGGTCAAAGAAAGACCACTAGAGAAGAACAGGGCCCTGCAATATAGGATGAGACAGACAGTCTCTGGCTTCATGGAACTGTAAGCCACTGGTCACATAGTTTCGGTTGAACATGTCACAAAGTTTAGATTAACCAAGTCGCATAGTTTAGATTTAACATGTCGCATAGTTTCGGTTAAACATGGCACATAGTTTAGATTAACCAAGTCGCATAGTTTAGATTTAACATGTCGCATAGTTTCGGTTAAACATGGCACATAGTTTAGATTAACCAAGTCGCATAGTTTAGATTTAACATGTCGCATAGTTTCGGTTAAACATGGCACATAGTTTAGATTAACCAAGTTGCATTGTTTAGATTTAACAAGTCACATAGTTTAGATTGAACATGTCACATGGTTCAGATTGAACATGTCATAAAGTTTACATTGAACATGTAATGTACTTAAGATTGAACATGTCACATAGTTTAGATTTAACCTGTCAACAGTGTTTAAATTAACTATGTCACAAAGTTTAGATTGAACATGTCACTTGGTTCAGATTGAACATGTCACATAGTTTAGATTGAACATGTCACATGGTTCAGATTGAACATGTCACATAGTTCAGATTGAACATGTCACATAGTTCAGATTGAACATGTCACATAGTTCAGATTGAACATGTCACATAGTTCAGATTGAACATGTCACATAGTTCAGATTGAACATGTCACATAGTTTAGATTGAACATGTCACTTGGTTCAGATTGAGCATGTCACATGGTTCAGATTGAACATGTCACATGGTTCAGATTGAACATGTCACATGGTTCAGATTGAACATGTCACATGGTTCAGATTGAACATGTCACATGGTTCAGATTGAACATGTCACATGGTTCAGATTGAACATGTCACATAGTTTAGATTGAACATGTCACATAGTTTAGATTGAACATGTCACTTGGTTCAGATTGAACATGTCACATGGTTCAGATTGAACATGTCACATAGTTTAGATTGAACATGTCACATAGTTTAGATTGAACATGTCACTTGGTTCAGATTGAACATGTCACATAGTTTAGATTGAACATGTCACTTGGTTCAGATTGAACATGTCACATGGTTCAGATTGAACATGTCACATAGTTCAGATTGAACATGTCACTTGGTTCAGATTGAACATGTCACATAGTTTAGATTGAACATGTCACTTGGTTCAGATTGAACATGTCACATAGTTTAGATTGAACATGTCACATAGTTTAGATTGAACATGTCACTTGGTTCAGATTGAACATGTCACATGGTTCAGATTGAACATGTCACATAGTTTAGATTGAACATGTCACATGGTTCAGATTGAACATGTCACATAGTTTAGATTGAACATGTCACTTGGTTCAGATTGAACATGTCACATGGTTCAGATTGAACATGTCACATAGTTTAGATTGAACATGTCACATGGTTCAGATTGAACATGTCACATAGTTTAGATTGAACATGTCACATAGTTTAGATTGAACATGTCACTTGGTTCAGATTGAACATGTCACATGGTTCAGATTGAACATGTCACATAGTTCAGATTGAACATGTCACTTGGTTCAGATTGAACATGTCACATAGTTTAGATTGAACATGTCACATGGTTCAGATTGAACATGTCACATGGTTCAGATTGAACATGTCACATGGTTCAGATTGAACATGTCACATGGTTCAGATTGAACATGTCACATGGTTCAGATTGAACATGTCACATGGTTCAGATTGAACATGTCACATGGTTCAGATTGAACATGTCACATGGTTCAGATTGAACATGTCACATGGTTCAGATTGAACATGTCACATAGTTCAGATTGAACATGTCACATGGTTCAGATTGAACATGTCACATAGTTTAGATTGAACATGTCACTTGGTTCAGATTGAACATGTCACATAGTTTAGATTGAGCATGTCACATGGTTCAGATTGAACATGTCACATAGTTTAGATTGAACATGTCACATAGTTTAGATTGAACATGTCACATAGTTTAGATTGAACATGTCACATAGTTTAGATTGAGCATGTCACATGGTTCAGATTGAACATGTCACATAGTTTAGATTGAACATGTCACATAGTTTAGATTGAACATGTCACATAGTTTAGATTGAACATGTCACATAGTTTAGATTGAGCATGTCACATGGTTCAGATTGAACATGTCACATAGTTTAGATTGAACATGTCACATAGTTTAGATTGAGCATGTCACATAGTTTAGATTGAGCATGTCACATAGTTTAGATTGAACATGTCACATAGTTTAGATTGAACATGTCACATAGTTTAGATTGTTTAGATTGAACATGTCACATAGTTTAGATTGAACATGTCACATAGTTTAGATTGAACATGTCACATAGTTTAGATTGAACATGTCACATAGTTTAGATTGAACATGTCACATAGTTTAGATTGAACATGTCACATAGTTTAGATTGAACATGTCACATAGTTTAGATTGAACATGTCACATAGTTTAGATTGAACATGTCACATAGTTTAGATTGAACATGTCACATAGTTTAGATTGAACATGTCACATAGTTTAGATTGAACATGTCACATAGTTTAGATTGAACATGTCACATAGTTTAGATTGAACATGTCACATAGTTTAGATTGAGCATGTCACATGGTTCAGATTGAACATGTCACATAGTTTAGATTGAACATGTCACATAGTTTAGATTGAGCATGTCACATGGTTCAGATTGAACATGTCACATAGTTTAGATTGAGCATGTCACATGGTTTAGATTGAACATGTCACATAGTTTAGATTGAACATGTCACATAGTTTAGATTGAACATGTCACATAGTTTAGATTGAACATGTCACATAGTTTAGATTGAACATGTCACATAGTTTAGATTGAACATGTCACATAGTTT